CGGCTTGGCATCAATACTAAGATTCAAAGTTTAGAAGAGATGGGCCGTAACCAGAAATCGATGCAAGATTTCGTCCATCAACAATATTACCAATCGAAAAGCTTAAAAATCCTCATAGAAATATTTCGATAAATTTTTTTTTAATAAATCATTCATCAGAATTTTTCTATTTAATATATAAAACGAAGAAATATAGTATAAATATAAATTCATTTTCATACAATCATTTTATTTTCATTATAATCGGAAAATAAAATTCTCTCTTCTCTTCAAGATTCAAAGCAAATTATATATTTTACAATAAAATTAAAAAAAAATATAAGTTCTCAAATAATTTTGTATCTTCTTTTCTTATACCTATACACCTACCTACAAAGATATATAATCCTCGGCCCAAAATCCCATCATTTTCTTATAAAATAAAAAATATAATCTCTATTTCTTTTCATAATCTTAATAATAGAAATAGTAAATTGCCTCCCATAAACTATTCCTTAATTAGAAAAAATTTCGAATAATATGACTACTCTATTATTATATACGAATACTAAACTATCTATTTCTACGATTCATATATATTAAAATTTATTTCAACTATATATAAATATAAGAGATTAAATAATAACTATTAAATATGAATTACAAGAATAGATTTATTTATATAAAAAAAATTAATCACGTATCCCTATATAATAAATTTCGAAATAAAAAATTTAGATAAATTTATTATTAAAAAATTAAACTATCGCCTCTATTAGAAATCTTATCTTATAATGAATATTTTCGACTTTAAGAAAATCAAGTCAAATATTATGGTATTTAGAAAACAAGATAATAAGTTCAATTTTTCATTAATATAATATTAAATGACAGATTATTTGGAAATATATCATATTCGGAGGCTCTTATCGACAAAGATTGGCCCCAATTTACAAAACTATTTCCCATCGTACCGTGCAAAATGGTGTCAATCTCTGTTGAACCCACAACTCAGCTACAGCATTGACACGAACAGGATCACCTGAACAGGCGCCGTGGGGGTCCGACCGCGATCTCCCGGATCAGCTCCAGGGGGGTGGGAAGCGGATCCGAGGCAGGGCCGACTCGGCTGACGGATTTGCCCAAGCGGCTCCTGGGTTGAGAGTCCAAAAGGGTTGAGGGTCTGCGGTTTGGGGCATGTGCCCGGATCCTGGCACCCCCCTATGGATCCGATTCGGCCTCACCCGGGAGCTGGCTCAGGGACCGGATTCGAACCCACCTGGATCCTGTTTGATTCACTCCCACTCAGCTACACCAGCTAGCTACATCTCCTGTGACAAGTCGCAATCGACGGCTGTGCAGTCCCATGAGCTGGCTTGTGGGTCAAACAGAGATTGACACAATTTTGCACAGCCTTTTCGATGTGAGCCAGATGAATTTTGTGTCTGCGAGCTTTCGGCACAGCACCAGGCGATGACGTCCGAAGCGCTGATCTGGTCGCAACTATTTCACAAGGGTTGAAAATGTCAAGTTTGCTTTGCAAACTGTTCACGAACCTTCCCACACCTGTATGGGAAAGAAAATCGGCATGCAAGCTAGTCATGCAGCTCTTTGTCTGCGCTCACTTGTGTCGTCCTCCTTCCTGTCGTGGTTCGCAGGTGTCTCGCCGTCGTTCATATGCAAGAAATGCTAGTTGCCACACGAATCAAGCAATGATACTCACAACTCAGCAAATGATGCTCCAAAGTCAATGTTCCAATTTCTTGTGCATCAGCCTGGCCGTACCACAACCAGCTTCAGGCGCTTGTGCTGTTCTCCATTTCATTTCCTTGGGACTAGGGGGCCTCTTTCAAGTGTACGTGGAGATGCAACCAAAGTCAAACAACATGGCACATCACAGCACCTGCACCACTTCATCCCGCACTGTGTGGAGCCAGGCAGACCCGGTGAAGCCCTGCAAGCATGAAAACTCCCAATCTCTGTGCAGAAATAAGTGCTGTACGAACATAACGTGTTCCTGCGGCCTTCCATATGTCCAAGCGTCCCGACTGCAGCTCCCATTTCAGAAACTCCTTGAAACCGAATTGCCATGATCATGGACAGGCTGCACAATTTTTCTGTCCTTCTTGCAGTTGCTCCGTGGCAGATCGGCCCACCGCAGGTTCTGGTTGAAGCGTACAGGTCGGGCAGCCTTTGCAACTTTGCAGCAACATTTCGGAGGTGTCATGGTCTGGTTCCAACTCAGGTCTGCGCCATCCCGCGGTGTTTATTCGGAAAGGCAGAGGCTTCTACCTGCAAAAGACCAGGCTATCATCAGTCGACACTGGCATGGCCTTGAAGGATTGAAGCTGCATTATGCAGGTCTTGGTATTGCACCGTAGGAAGCCTTCCGCCTGCATAGGCAAGGTTTGCCCGGTCTTGCGAATTGGTAGTCTTCGGGACATCCGAGAAAAAAACGGATCTTCGCCTCCCCCTGTTGACATCGCCGTAGTCTGTCTCTGCATGGGTGACGCAGCCTGCCGGCTAGTGCTCAGGGCATCGTGACTGCCACTGCTGCTCAATGCTCGTCGACCCATACACAACAATATATACATGTATATATATACACA